ATAAAAATAATCCTCAATCGTTATATTACGTGATAAATATAATAACAAATATAAATGAATATAATGTATGCGTATAACTCAAATAAGTTAAATGTTACACTAAACCATCATGTATAAATATTTCATATTCACTATGTTTGTACCCAAAAGCGTTTATATAATTTAAAATAATTTAGTTGATTATTCAAAAACAAAAAACGTCTGTAGTATTAAAAATAATTTTTCGCTAATTAAAACACCAAAATTCGGTGAAAAAAATTCCTCTTTAATGATACATGTGCGTAAGAACTGATTTAAGAACTTTTCCCGCGAAGTATTTTATTTTATCAAGTCACTTGTCACGGTGTTGGCTAAAATATGTACTACATCGGAGTGCAAAGAGTAAAAAAACCTCCTTTTCGGTAGGCTATAAATACACTCTTTATTTTTTAAACAAATTAAAAAAAATTAAAAAATAAAATTATCATTCAAATAAATCCTTCCACACCTTTGGCTTTTTGACGGGTCGTAATGCCAAGTAGTACTCGCTTACATACTAGCTGTAATAGTGAAAATAATGCATTTTTTTATAAATACTATTTGTTTGTGTTTATTAATATGCAACAATAACTAATAATATATTTATAAAATACATTTATACAAAAAAAAAATTATATGGTTCAGCGATTTAGTGTACTGGAGTATAACGAACAATAATACCGCGTTAGAAGTAGTTTTAGGTATGGAACTATGCTGTATAGAAAAAATGAGCTTTATATGTGTTTATACGTTTTCTTTATTTTCATTTTCTCGTAAACGTACCTACTTTTATATTATAGTAAATCTGCGCTAAAAGTTTCGTGCAATAACGTTTTGGTTCATATAACGTGGACACAATAGTAATACTTATAAGATCGGTCGTTTTTAATGTTTGCTCAGAAGTTTTCATAAAGTAAAGACTATTTTTTTTTTTTAAACTATCGCGAGTATTATTGAATTTTGTTCCGTCACCATGTAAATACATATTTGCTTTAATAAGATAAATATGATCGTGTGTTTTATGCTGCTAGAACACTTTGCAAGAACGTTTATCAAAATATTATCGCTCAGCTAATTTGTATAGTGTTAAAAAAAAATCAGAAAATCTAAATAGTCATTTTTTATTTTTTATTTGAGGTCTTAAACTTTCGGTAAAACCAATTGTTTTCATGTGACGATTATTTTTTAGTGGTTCCTTGTATTTCCATAAATATATTCAATTATATCGATTGTTGCTCAGAATTTTTTTTTCGATTTCTACGACCTATCATTATTTTCATGTATTACTAAATTAACGGAATACTTCCAACTTGATACCAGCAGTATCTCATTGAACGACTTATTTCTAGAACCCTTGGGCACACTTATCATGAAAATTGAAAAAGATATTTGGGTAAACAAAACAAAAATGTATCTGAGCTCTTTGACTCCACTCGACCCATATTTTTCTAACACTATTATATCTGTTTTTGTCAAGCGTAATAAAATTATGTAACGTTTTATTTCACTTGTCTTCTCCACTCGCTTAATACTTCATTCGCCATAAGTAAGATAATATATATATATATATAACAAACGATATGCATCATTTGAGATAGTCAAATTTTAAAAATTAATAAGTAACGGCTCTTTTTGTAAACAAGCAGAAAACAAAACTCCATAGTAAGTGTACGGTCGCGTATCGTTTTTATTAAATGTATTAATGTTATCTTCGTAATCGCGCGATAAGGCATCAACGACCTATGCGACGAGCTCGACCGAGTAGTTGTTTTGTACACGCGTTACCGTACGGACTACCCGCTAAATTTTGTGCGTAAAAATACAGTCCATTTCGTTATTATAATTATTTATCGATTTTTATTATTAGTAGTTAAACCTAAGTTCAGTTCGTAATCGCGTAATTGAACATTTGGTCCCTCGAACCGGATGAGCTAGCGTAAACGGGTAAAAAGTGTACATGAGCGCGTGAATAATAGGCCTTGAGTTTTTAGCCTGATCGTATTACGCGTTCCGTTGGTGGCGAGTGTTGGTTTGCGACACTACTAGGGTGAGTGCATCTAGGAGTACCACAGCACACGCGGTGTATTATTTGCGAGGTACACAAGTCACCAGGCAACTCAGTGGTGAGACATACTTCAGCAGAAGCAAGGTAAGAGAGTCTCATAATTTCCTTTATATTTATTAGTATTGGTATTTTCCCTTCCTAAAATACGGCGTTAATGTAAGCATTGAGGTCGGGGGTTTCGAGGTCATCCGAGCCCAGAGTCTTGCGGTGTAAAGAATATTTTGTAATAATGATTTGGGGCGCTGATACAATTATCGTTATTATAGGTTTATCACTTACGATAAGCACGAGTAATATTACTTTACATTAGGTGTCGGCGAAGAGAATAATCGCCGTTATCGAAATAAAATAGATAAACGTTAATACCCAATACCGCGGCTTAAGCTTCACGTTTGTTATAATTATACGACGTGATCGACGACGACGTATTAACAAATATGAGTAATTTCGTAGCACGACGCGGTCAGCTTAAGGTATATTGACTAGATTTTGGAATTACGTTACGACACCAGATAATGATGTCAATCAAATTCACATTCGAAAAGAAAAAGTAGAAGAAGTTTGGCAAGAGTTTAATCGAATACAAGCTGAAATAGAATTGGAAATCGGAGAAGGAGAAAATATCAACGAACATTATCAATATAGAGAAGAATTCGAAGAACTTTATTACAAAGCAATCACAGAAGCAAATAGAAGAATCCAGCGAACGGAGAACATATCCGGGACGGTCGAATACAACCGAGATGAAGATAGTGAAAGGAAAATGAAGGAAGTCAACCCGATGGTAAAACTGGCCGCATTAAACGTTCCTATATTTTCATGTGTATATATCGAATGGGCATCATTCTACGACATATACACCGCGTTAATCCATAATAATGATAGCATATCTACGATACAAAAATTCTTTTACCTACGGTCATCGTTATCAGAAGGTGCCGCCGAGTGTATCAAAAATATAGAAACCACGGCAAATAATTATCTAAGTGCATGGAGTAATTTAATATCCAGATATAATAATAAGAAATTATTGGTACAAACTCATGTCAGAGCAATTTGTGACTTGCCCACAGTAAAAGGGAAATCATCGTCTAGTTTACGACAATTTTCCGATAATCTACGGGGGCATTTAGCAGCGTTAAAGACATTAAATCAGCGGCCCAGCGAATGGGGACCACTTTTACTACACGTAGTGTGCTCAAAATTGGATACGGATACGATAAGCGAATGGGAGATAAAAACCCCAATTGACGAGCTAGCAAAGGTCGACGACCTAATCGAATTCTTAGACTCACGTTTTCGCGTATTAGAAGCGGTCGAATCGGCAAAAAATATGAATAAGAGCGTAAATACAGTGTTTGAATATAAAAACACGAACCGAAAAAATAAGTTCGAAAGAAACAGTATGTCACTAGCGGTAACCGCAGAAATAAAATGCTTTATATGCTTTATTTATCAATCGCATACTATATATAAATGTCCAACGTTCGTTGCAATGTCAGTAGACGATCGCATAAAGAAAACGTACGAGCTCGGTTTGTGTAAGATTTGTTTACGTCGTTACGAAAAAAGAAAATGTTTTGCTCGACATTGTTTTAAATGTGCCAAAGCTCACAATACTATGTTACATATCGGAACTGAACATCAGAAACTATCGACAACAACCGCAGTGGGGTCGAGTAGCAACACGGCCGCAACTGATACGACAGTAATTACGTCGGTGAACGCACACGCGTCTGCGGCAATAGAACACGTATTATTATCTACAGCAGTAGTGCTCGCCGTAAATGTCGACGGAAATACATTGCCGTGTAGAGTACTGCTGGACTCCGGCTCTCAGACAGATTTTATAACCGAAGAGCTAGTCCAGACATTGCATTTAAAAAAGAATAAAATCGAGCATGTTATTAGTGGTATTGGTGAAACGTCTCAACGCGCAACATCGTCTGTATGGGCAAAAATAAAATCACGAATAAATGATTACACGTTAAATTTGCAAATGGTAGTGGTACCGAAAATTACGGGACACTTACCGAACCATAATGTCAAAACAAAATATAACATTCCTAATAACATTAAATTAGCAGACCCGTCATTCAATGAGCCACAAAAAATCGACGTATTAATAGGCGCCGCGCATTTTTATGATATTTTACGTGGCGGTCAAAAGCGACCAAACCCGACTGGCCCTTTATATCAGGAAACAGTGTTCGGTTGGGTGGTGGCAGGGCCGGTATTAATAAATAGTCGCGCAAATATGATGCCATCGAGTGCGGCATTTCTTGCGACACATGGTGTGATGACATTAGAACATTTATTACAACAGTTTTGAATAGTCGAAGATATGGGGAACGAAGCCACATATACACCGGAAGAACGCGCTTGCGAGGACCATTTTAATAAAACGGTGACCCGAAGTAAAATTGACGGACGTTTCGTAGTGAAGCTACCGTTCCGTGAGAATGCGAAACGTCTGGGGAAGTCATACGAAATAGCGAAGCGACGTTTGTTAGCAATAGAGAGAAAATTTAAAGGCAATCAGGATTTAAAAACAGAATACATTAGTTTTATGGACGAATATGAAAGGTTGAGTCATATGGAACTAGTAAATGAAGACACCGAAGTTGAAGGTAAAATGTGTTACCACACCACGCAGTAAGAAAAGAAGACAGTACTTCGACAAAACTACGTGCTGTATTTGACGCTTCGTGTAAGACACAGACAGGTGTGAGTTTGAATGATGTATTGATGAAAGGACCAGCGATACAAGACGAAATTATAAACATATTGGCTCGATTTCGAACACACAATTACGTGGTAACAGCCGATATAGCCAAGATGTATAGGCAAATAGTAGTAGCAGAGGAACATCGCGATTGGCAACGCATACTGAACTACGCCGGAAGCACCCGTGCAAACCTATCGTTTAAATACAGTTACTTACGGTACGGTACCCGCTTCATACATAGCAACAGCCTGTCTGAAGAAATTAGCTGAAACCAATAGTATGGAATACCCTAAAGCTGCAGCAGCTATCATTCGCGATTTTTATATGGATGATTTTTTAAGTGGGGCGGAAACGAAAGATGAGGCGGCTACATTGATAAGACAACTCATTGACGTAATGAATAGCGCCGGAATGAAATTAAGAAAGTGGTCATCTAACGATATAGATTTGCTTAAATCTATTTTACCTGACGAGGATATAGAATTGTCAAATTATTATGATATCGGTGGTTCGACAAAGAAAATTTTAGGGTTGTATTGGGACGCTCATACTGATAAGTTACGGTTTAAGATATCGCCGGGAGTGGGCTCGACTACGGCCATCAGTAAACGTGACATATTATCCGACATAGCGTCGATTTTTGACCCGTTAGGTTTGGTAGGACCGGTGGTCATACGCGCAAAAATAATGTTACAAGCCCTATGGCGAGAAAAGGTGAACTGGGATGAACCCATACCGATTGGTGTGCGTGAAGAGTGGTTAAAATACCGCAATTTATTACCAGCATTAAATAACTTATCGATATCACGGAAAATATTAGGTGATTTAAGTGTAGGGCATATAGAAATTCATGGGTTTTTAGACGCTAGCGAAGTAGCCTACGGTTGTTGTTTGTACGTTCGATACGCAACCGGCACGGGGTCATATTCCACCAGTTTAATATGCGCCAAGTCCAAGGTAGCACCAATAAAGACTTTATCAATACCGAGATTAGAGTTATGCGCCGCATTATTATTAAGTAGATTGGCGGCCAAGATAATACCCAAATTGCAATTAAATATAAAACGGAGATATTTTTGGACAGATTCGACCATCGTACTTGCTTGGATTTCGTCACCTGCTGCAAATTGGAAAGTCTTTGTTGGTAATAAGGTGAGTGAAATTCAAGATAAAACTTCTTGTTCTGAATGGCGTCATATCAGTTCAAAGGAAAATCCTGCGGACGTAATATCTCGTGGTTGCTGCCCATCGAAATTGGCGGAAAATGTATTATGGTGGACCGGTCCAGATTGGATACGTCGAGACGAACAAGAATGACCACAGTCACAAGAACTCTCGATAGAAAAGGAACATATTCCAGATTTTATTGTTAAGAAAATAGTAATAAATTAATTTAATAATTTTAAGAGTATTCTTTGATAAAATAATAAATAAAAATAATTTTTCGTCTAGTACTATAATGTTATTATTATAATACACTTTCACAAAACGAAAGTATATTATAGTACATTCACTAGATAACAAATAACATTATATTTTATTGATAATAAGGACAGGTATTAAATTACCTGGGACCAGTACTTTTGTGTTTTTTTGAACAAAGAACCGGTCCTGGTATTTAAAATTCAAACGATTTCAATCCTTCATCATTATATATAATAATATATTTTTTGTTTATTTATTTATATGTTTTAGGTAAAGACCCTGGACTTGGAAATAGTCGATTTTTACATAGATAATGATGATTAGTACATAGACAATTTTCTATCAATTTTAATTAGAAAACTTATGAAATGTTTTTTTAACACGATAAATAAATGCTATATGAATAAAAACAACAGAAAGTTACAAAACTCGATAAAGGAGTATAAATGATAGTAGAAACCTTGAGAGTAAATTTATAGTTCTTTGTTTTTTTCAACATTAGTTTATTATGTTACTTTTAAAGCACTCAACAAAAACGTATTTTGAAACGTGATTATTCATCGACAATTGAATCAAATGCGATGAGGACGAGGGTCGCATGTTTTTCGGTGATAATTATTTTCCGATTGCATGAGTCTTGAAAATTGGATAAGTTAGAATCCAAATAATTTTTACAAAGATTATCTGAGGCGTTCAAAAAGTTTCACCTCAATTAAAATGCAAAGATTATTATGGTTTACACAGGTATATTTACTTCTTTCTAAAGTCCGGGTTACCTTATTTACGTGACGTCATTAATTAAAATCCATAACATAAATTACAATAAAATGACTATATAGAATTGAGTTGATTCGTCCAAGTTCAACAATTAAAACGATTCTTAAGTGTTCGGCCTTGCATAAATACTTTTATAGTAATTAAGACATTTGTAGCGCGACTGTAATACAAAACCCAAAGTTTATTTCATGAATTTATGAGCACAATAAATTATTTGCAAATATTATTTGAATATTTAGACTATTATTATGGCTACTACAAAGGTACAAATATAAGATAAATTGTTTATTTCGAACTTCCAACAACAATAATTCATAATAAACAATTTACTAAAAATGTTATCGATACGACTTCGACAAAAATAATAACGCAAGGAAAACTATTTCTTTAAATTATTATTGTTTTCTCCTAAAGTATACATTCATATTATACAAAATGTTTTTAAAATAATATTGAAATTATACGCGCATATACACAGCTATAATACAGCATACGTAGAACCACTTGTGTTTATTTTCTTCTTATTTTTTTTTTCCACTACAAAATAATATAAAAACCATATATTTTACGGCCACCTGAATAGATTTTGTAAATAGTATAAAACTGATAATCGATTAAACACTACGATGTATTATATTCAAAAACGACTGTACTTATTTACCTAAAACTAACTGGGATCGAAATACACATCTACATCGTTAAGAACACTTGAAAAATTATTTATGTGGTTATTTTTTTATTTTTATTTATTAAATTATAGCTTCAATAAATGTTAGTCTACAAGCCATGTACAAAGGCTTAAAATCAGTATTATAATATTTTGGTTTAGAAACTAGTGTTATATTTTCACAACGCATAGAAATTGTTAATATTAATATTAATTACAAAAAAATAAATAAATAAATAATTCTTAGGAAGTTAATGCACGAAAATGTGCTATTGCATTTTCATCGAAGGCTTTTTCCACGTTTTTATGTATGGAATAGTTGTATCGTGATTTATGTTATTATGTACACTCTTTAATCGCATGTTGAATGGACAAGGTAGCTTGAGATTCGATCAATAACAATGCTATTAATATAGAGAAATATATCCTACTTAGGAAAACTTTTACCTGGATAGTAAAATAATTTTCGCGGCATTTACAACACAAGTTCAAACACGTTGCACCGCAAAATCGTAAAATCCTGGTTAAAAAAAAAAAATTAATTAAATTCGTGATGGAACTGGATAGGGTTGGTATAGTTTACGTTTAGTGTCCGATAACGTTTTTTTTTTAAACCATTTTAACATTGTGTTTGAGTTGCGCAAAACTTTATCGCATTAAAGCATTTATAAATGAATCGTAAAAAAATACCCTCGTTCCAATATACTAAATCTGCTGTAACGTAATTGGTAAAAAATGTAATCTTAAAAACGACGTTCGGTCAATGATCGATGAGTGCTAAACATATTATTGCATATTATTGTCAATTTCAAAAAAAAAAAAAAAAACCTAAACCAAACTGTGCCCCGATCAGGGTTTTAAAACTTGAAATTTATAAGTAGTTGAAAATAAGTTTACCGAGAACGTTATAAGCGCGATGAGTTGTGATCATTTAACGACGGAAAGTTGACGTCACCGTCGCCGTTGCCGACACCGCTTCGACGCGATCAGCGGATTGATATTATCTCGTCGACGGAACAGACGAGGGGGGAAGTCGTTATTAAGCGTATTATACTTTTGTCGGAAAGTCTTTCGGCATGAAGTTATGGCGGAAAACGTACAGGGATCACGATAAAAGTCAAGTGTCGAAAATTCCCACGCAGTTATGCAGATAAAAAGAAAATGACGTGATGCGTTTACGGTCAAAAAGTTAATAACGCGCAAGGTACGCCGCCAAATCACGTGCCGGTCTCGCGATAATTTTTCGTCGAGTGCGCGATAACGTCCTTTCACATACACTTATAGTATATTTCCATCGGGCGGAACACGTTTTCCTCAGAGTCAGATCTATGGACACGATCGGTGCACTCCTAACTTACTACGTAAGTTACTTAGCCCCCCACGTTTTAATATTCGTTAACCACCACGATTTTTTATAACCAACCGTCCGATTTCATGATTGTTAATTTTATTATTTATTTATTGATATTTATCTGATTTTAAATGTTTCAGCAAATCAACGCTCTTACAAGTTGTTCAACATCCAAATAGTGATGGCATATCCAGATTTAAGAAATCCGAATTATTCGGATTTGTCAAATTCGGATTTATGAAATTCGGATTTTCATAGATTATCCGAACTATCCGGATTATTCAATTCAATTTTGCTGTTCAATTTCTCATTTTTATATTTACATAAATTTAACTTTTCTTCAAAAAATCATATTCAATAACCATTCTAAGGTTATGCAGTTAAGATAAGTTAATTGGGTATTCAGTCATGATATCACTGTAAGTCATAGAGGTATAAAGTAAACTCAACAATTTAGTGAATTATAATTTTGTTAACTAATAATACATTATAAAAACTGTTAAAATCATGATAAGTAAATTGAAATTCATAAAATGTAATATTAATTTTTTGTTACAATAAAATAAAATAATTTATTTTACTAGAAATTAAAAATAATTATAAGTTATATAAAAAGCAAATTTATAAATCCGAATAATCCGGATACTTCGGCAAATCCGGACAAGAATTTGATTCAAATCTGGATTTGAATATCCGAATATCCGGATAATTCAGATATTCGGATTTCATGCCCATCCCTACGTCCAATATAATATTGAACATGACATTCGTTGTAATTGAGGATATGACACTCAAGTTCACCAATTTTAGACTGAAATCACTGACAATTATAGGAAGTTTGTTGTAAGTTTGTTTAAAAGGACAATAAGTGATGATATTCAAGGGTAAATTATTAATATTTGCAAATAAATAATCGTTGAAAATAAAAAAATAAAAGATATATTTGTACGGCGAGCGGAATAACATAATCTACGGGGCCGTACAGTCCTGTTGGTGGTATGGTCGACGTGGCGAACGCAATAAAATGGACCATGTTGATGTGTCTCGTGGTCCACTGTGAAATACGTGTGAATGACAAATTGAATTGACAAATCGTGGCAGTCAATGTACCAGTTATTATTTCGGCCGTGGTTCAATCTCCGTATAAAATCCAGAATTCCATACAACATCGAGTTCCGCGAGATTACGGTTCCGATCCACATGCTTTCGAGTAGGTACGTCCATGAATTCAATTCGTTAACATTTTAACGGCGGCAGTTAATCGCAACTCTATTAATGTTCTATTTCATTCAAAATACATTATTTTTACCTCGTATTCCTGTAACAAGCGCAAGAACTTAACTATGCGGTCCGGGTATATTTGAACATAATTTCTACTCGACGAATTATCGAATATGATACTCGCAAGATAACATTTCGTACGTTTCCGTTGAAATGTAAATACGAGTAGCCCGTAGGTAAACCTATACATGCGTGTCTACCGGCAGTCATTACGCTCATAACTTATTAAATTGTTGTTACAGTAAAAACATTTTCAAATTAATAAATGAAACGATGCGCTATTTCCTTCTGTAGCATTGTATCGTATAATTATAGAATATTATTTTTATGTTTATTCAAATACTCTTTCAAAAACAGTATGTTCATGCAGTGTTAAAACTTAATTAAAATATTTTGTAATTGTCTATGTAGAGAATTATACACTATATGCATTACATATACTAACCTATATGAATATTTACATCAAAAAAGTTAAAAAGTAGTAAATATACATCAATTTAATAATTTTTTATACTTACTATGTATTAAATGGGAAAAATATGATATTACAGATTATTTGGTATTTGGACATCATCATCAGGAAAATTCCACGTCAAACAACTGTGTTGTATAATTGCATAAATAGAATTTAAGTGTAGAAAAAATCAAAGGTATTGAAAATTTTTTTGACAAAACCCAAGAACTTTGAAAAACTTCTTCTCTTCTGCGAATTTCTCTAAAAGTATAGAAAATGACTATCTATTTACTAAGAAACATTCACCTAGGAAATAAAATGTCGAGGATAACTAGCGAATGAAAATAAATTATGATCAATATCAAATACATTTTAAATGTAATATATAATATACTATACAATTTTACCGATGTTTTCA